GGGTGGAGGATCCAACTTAATCTTTATTGTTTCCAGTCTGCGCAGAGAGGGGTGCTTGGCAATCGTTTGCAAAGCAAGCACCACCGGTTTCTACCTTTGGGTACCTTTTATACATATGTTTGCAAGTGTATCGCTCAGTGATTGGTTACAAGCCACTGACATAAGACGTTCTCTACTGAGCATGTCTCTATACCTATGTTTTAGCCATGTATTTCATTTACATACATATATGTTTCATTAACATACTTTTGCCCTGCCCAGGGGTGTGATTTTTAGCATTATAATGAGACCTTTTTCTGAACTTCTTGCTATCTTACAAGTGTCAGGGAGACATTATCCTGCTGGTGTTAGGGAGGCATTCCAGGAATCCTCCGCATCCCACACGCTGTGCTCTGCAAGCATCTCTTAACACACACATGCCACACCCCTCCCAGCATCAGTAAGTTGCCTTAAGTATTCAGTTAGATATAGTTTGCAAAAGCTAGATATACCATAAAAAAGATTACATAAAAAGATTACATCACCTACACCTCCCACAGCGCTTATGCACCTGCTTTGATCCCTTCAGTTGGAGAGGGGGTACCTTTTGGAGTACCGCCTGGGTTACACTGGGTCATTGTGTACATTGCTCCACCCATCAAGGCTTAAACTGGCAAATTTCCCCTATTTCTTGCACACTGTTCAAGTTCCTTCTAATTCACTGTATCTAGCAACCTTCCACCAATGTCTGCTCTACCAGGCAGTGTGTAGCCTGGTCATAAGGACTTAACCATGTCAATGAAGTGTTTATTGTTAACAATGTGAAAAGAATTTGTGGCATAAATGAACCAAGCAATCTTTTCATCTATGGTGTCTTGTTGGTATTTGCTGGTCCTTACTACAATCCCATCCATGGTGGTGGTTTTACTAGATGATTGAAATCTTTTGCTTGCTACTGATACTTTGTTGTCTGAAATACATTTAGTTGAAGAACTGCTGCTAAAAGTACCAATGGATGACTGAAGTTGTTGCAGATGGACAGTCAAAGTCTCTTATGCTTAAATAGGATCATGAAACAAAAATGATTTTTGAATAGTCATTCTTCTCACTCTAGTATTCAGTTAATCATTTACATTTTTTTTTTCAACAAGGGTGCAGATCTGATTCCAAATTACCAAAAAAGCTAAGACTGATTGCACTTAAAGTGCACTAAATTTTGGAGTAAGCCCCATTGAACTCACTGGCACTTCTGTTTTTTTGAGAAAACAAGTATAGGATGGGGTTCCCTTAGGAAAGCTGAGTTATGCTGAAGTAAAATAGGGAACAGACTTATGGCATCACCATTGTGATCTAGGGCCATGAAGTTCCAAAATAAGGGGCATGCATTATGTAATATAAAACAAGAAAATGACACCCGGTGGCAACTGGCAACTCTAGATTTCTCTTACTGCAGCTTTCTGTACTGTAAACTTGGGTGGTAGAGTCTAAACCTAGTTAACTAAACAAGCCATAAGAATTAGCTAAACTTTTTTTCTAGCACCATCCAACATGGCAAACAGCTTGGGAATTTATTTGTTAAATCACACTTATACTAAAAGGCATAGAAAGAGTCTTGAAGAACAGTGCGTTGCAAAGTGAATTATTTAATCTGATCCACATTGTTCTTCAGACATATCCACATCTTCATCCACATCATTTTCTCCCAATAAGCAGTTTTCATTATGTTTCTTTCTTGCAACAAGGCCTTGCAATCTCCTTCTTGCATTGCTTACACTTGACACATTTTCCATTTTTACCCAGGGAAGGAATTGCTTCAAAATATTCCCAGATAGGGTCTCTTTTACACTCAGAAGCCATGACAGTTTGTTTTGTTTGTTTGTTTGTTTGTTTGGCAAAAGTGTGGGGGAATATAGGAAGCTGTGTGTGTACTACCGAATAATGTCTTTCCTTTTTCTTTCCAGTCCACTGTTCCTTTCTATTCTGCCTCCATCCTTTCCTATATTGTTTCTGTCTTTAAGAGAGTCTTAACTAACTCCTCTGCCTTGCTTGGCCCAGCTCCACCCCCACATAAGAACAACAATCCTATCCAGCCTGTCTGCATGTGACTTTAGTCCGCTGAGAAACAGAAACTGAAAGCCCAGAACTTTCAAGAAGCAAGAGCTGGTAGTTAGGCTGGACAGACAGACTAGAGCCATTTTCATGAGATGAAAAATTGAAATGAATGCCCATGTTTGATTGATAGGTAACTCAATGTGTGTGTGTCTGTGTGCGAGACAGAGCCATTAATTCATTTTTATGAGACTGTAAGTGTAGGTTTATCATGTTTGTGATGAGGTTTAATTGTAGCTGTTATTTTTTTAAACAAGATAGAAATTTAGTACTTTATTGACGATTTTAAAAAATCTGATTTTAAATTTTTTAAAAATCCAACTTTTAAATTTATTTTTTCTTAATCATTGATTTTTATCCACCCTGCTTTGGGCACAAACACCCTTCTGTTTCTAGAGATAACAGCCTTGTTAACAACAGTATCTGGAGATGAGAGATAAGACCTGATTGCCTGCCCATCAGCCCTATTGTTTCTCTTTAAGTTTGTGTGTATACAGAGTCAAGCCCTTACCTCTCTCTAGAAGTGCAAAGTTTCAAGAAGTTAAATGAATAGAGGATACGAGGTAGAGTAGATCTGGGAAAGGAGGAGTCTGGAAATAAATGCAAGGAGGGAGGGGAAGTAGAAACAACAGAGGCACATTCTGAGCAGAAGATTCCAGAAGTTGTGAGGAATATCCTTCTGAGTATAGCCTCTCCACTGATTTGAGATCTAGTGAGGGACTGGTATGGTAGAAAGGAAAACCTATCATGGTAGCAGGCTTGCCAGGCCGTAAAAAAGACCCTGTTTGGGAATATTTCATTAAAGTTCCTCCACCTATGGGGAAGACAGGCATGCGTGCAAAATGAAAACAATGCAACAAAGAAATGCAAGGCCTGGTTGCCGGAATGAAACAACATCTTGAGAAGTGCTCCTTCTCAGGAGGAAACTGCTTTGAAGATGACGAATGGAACATGTCTGAACATGGAGGATCTCCAGGTTAGTAAATTTTCTTATTTCATATTTCTCTCTTACGGACTGCCCGTCTCCCCTGTTCATAGCTTGTGGAAGGACTTCAGGACTACTTGAATTCTCATAAAACTGAGAAAAAATATAGTTACTTTATAGAACTACCATATTTTAGTGCAGCTGTGATCTAAAATAATGGCTGAAATAGGCAGATCTTCCTTTTACAGTTTTACTTCTAAAGTAGTACTGAGTACAATGAGTACTACTAAATGAGTTGGACTGTAGTGACTGCATTGACTTCTTTTGTTCAGGAGGATGCATCCTCAACATACAGGATTCTGACTATCCATCTTCAACATCATCACTGTCTACAATTTCAGAGTCACCTGCTAATGATACCAGTGTTCCAGTCAAATGTATGTCACATAGTACATCACCAGTAGCAAAAAGGAAAAAAAATCTCCATCATCCAGAAACCATCACAGATACATTTGGAATAAGAACCAACAGATTACAGCAGGAGGTACTTGATGAAAAAATTGCTCGGTTTGTTTATGCAACAAACGCGCCTTTCTGTATAGTTGAGAACACACACTTCATTGACATGGTTCAGTTATTACGACTGGGATACAGTCCACCCAAAAGAGCAGATATAATAGGCAAATTGCTGGATAAAGTATATGAGAGAGAAATTGAACAGTGTGCAAAAAGTCTGGAGGGGAAAATTGTTAACCTGAGTCTTGATGGGTGGAGCAATGTGCACAATGATCCAGTAATATGTGCTTGTGTGACCACAGAAGAAGGGACTGTCTACCTTACAGAAACAGTTGATACATCAGGAAATGCATACACAGCAGAATACTTACAAGAAGTAACAGTAAAAGCTATAACTGTGAAAAAACACTGAAATGTCTAGTAGTCAGCTTTGTCACAGACAATGCTGCAAATATATCAAAGATGAGAAGAAATCTAGAAGAAAGTAAGGAAAGCCCCAAGCTAATAACATATAGCTGCAGCGCTCATTTGATGCACCTCTTAGCCAAAGACTTCAGTGCTCTAGAAATAAAGGCTAATGTTGCTGAAATTGCAAAATACTTCCTTAACAGCCACTTTGCAGCAGCTGCTCTGAAGAAAGCAGGAGGCACCAAACTAACTCTCCCACAAGACCAGAAATGGAACTCAGTAGTGGACAGTTTTGAGCAATATATTGAGAACTGGCCTAACCTGATGAGAGTTTGTGAACAAAATCATGACAAAATAGATGGAACTGTCATAGCTAAAGTTCTTGACATTGGGCTAAAGAGAAATGTGGAACACGTGCTGACTATCCTGAAGCCTATTTCTGTAGCCTTGAACAAAGTGAAGGGAAATAGCTGTTTTATTGCTGATGCTGTTGAAATTTGGAAAGAATTGAGTGAGAACTTGAGAGAAATCTGCAATGACAGAGTTAAATTACAGGCATTAAAACAATGAATGGATAAGCACTATCTCCAGCTCACTTTCTTGCCAATGTTCTCAATACTCAGTACCAGAGTCAATCCTTAACTGCTGAAGAAGAGGACTTGGCTATGACATGGGCATCCAGCAATCAACCCTCCATAATACCAACCATAATGAATTTCAGAGCTAAGGGTGAACCATTCAAGAAATATAGGTTTGCTGATGAAGTTTTAAAGAAAGTCACACCAGTGAACTGGTGGAAGTCACTTAAGCACCTAGATCCACCAGAGACTATTGAAGTGATAATCCAGCTTTTAACAGCAGTAGCTTCTTCTTCTGCAGGTATAGAAAGACTATTTTCTTCCTTTGGACTGGTTCATTCTAAATTGAGAAATCGTTTGGGAACTGAAAAAGCAGGAAAGCTTGTCTTTTTTTTCCAGTCTTTGAATAAACAGGAAGAGGAAGGTGAAGACCGAGTTTGCTGCATAACCCAATATTTTACATATCTCATGTTGACCTGGCTAAAATAATCTTTTAAATTTTTGTTAAAAACACATTTCACATTTATAACTAAACTACTTAAAAATTCAAAAATATGCATCCTTGTTTTGTTAAATTATACATATCTGTTGTTGAAGAAAACTATCCAAAATACATAACCTTATTGTTTTAGTTAATAAAACAATTTAAAAGTCTGTTGTTTTTGGTTATTGTTGTTCTCCTAATACAGCATGGCAAAAATATCCCCCAAATATCCATGATTAACCTATTGAATTGGATAGTTCACTTCCCAGTGACTTCACAAGTATCTGCCTCAGTTAACTTTGGTAACTAAAATAACCAGCGAGTTAAATCGTGATGCAAGTCAGGATATAAATCGATTTGTTCCTGACCCAGCATAGAGGGAGTCGTCCCCTATCCCTCCCGCAGCTGCAGGGCCAGGGAGGGAAGGGGACGGTATGGGCCGGTCGTTCTCAACCTCTGCAGAGTGGATTCCCCCCGCCCCCGCAGTACCAGCTCCTAATTCAGGCTTCGGTTTTTACTATAGCAGGAGGGTACAGCAGGCCAGCTGCAGAGACCCCAACGCAGGGCAGAATGGTTTCCGCGCTAAGGATTCGCATTTGAAATTTCGGGGTTTATCCTGGGAGTCTCGTTTGCACCCAGCAGTGCCGGCAACACGCGACAGGGGCTGCACCGCCGGCTTAGTCGCTTGCTACCCCTCTGCGCAGAGCGGAGACCGAGGTCAGCGAGGCCGGGCTGAGGCCGTGTGTCGTCGCCCCGCGGGCGTAGAGCCGGATTTCGCTGCATTGGCTCCCCCAAGAAACGCCAGGGCTGCGGCACGAGGTCCTAGTAAGGGACCAGGCACTGGGACGGCAGCGCTGTGCAGCAGGCCGGCGCTAGGCCGCGGCAGTGGTATCAGACACGTGACCCACTCAGGCCGCGCGGGAGCAACTAAAACCGCGACCGCTGAGCTGACGGGCGCAAGCCCTTGAGTCACAGCATTTTCAATAAAGCGCCTTGCCATTGGCTCATTTGTCGGCGGGGATGGAGCATCTGACAATCTGATTAGTCGCTGCCTGGGACCCACCCCCTCCTCTTTCAAATCCCATCCCTCGCTTTCCACTGGATGGGGGGAGGGGCTGTGGGCTCTATCGGGGGGCGGTTTGGGGAAATGTCAATCTTCGTCCTGACTCTCTGATTGGTTGATACGAAGAAACGGAGCGGCGATGATTGGTTAAAAGGCAACGCCGTTCTTCTTGCCCGTTTAGGGATTTCTGGAGGTGGCAGGGGAGGACCCTGGCTGGTTGGGTGTGGGACATGTCACTCTGATGTGCGGCTCTGTAATTGGTTAGCTGGTAATTGGGTGCAGAGAACGTCCTTCGACTATGGGCAGGGGCATTGGAGCGAGGAGGCGGCTCGGAATTGGCTACTGACGGATCGTGTCTGGCTCTCTGGTTGGCGGGGCGCGGGCGGGCGGCACGTCTCGCTCCCCGTTACCCAGCGGTGCTTTGCGCTGGGCTGCAGTTAGGCCGCGCTGCGGGCGGGATGGCGGTGGCGGTGCGCGCGCTGCAGGAGCAGCTGGAGAAGGCCAAGGAAAGCCTCAAGCACGTGGATGAGAACATCCGCAAGCTCACGGGCCGGGACCCCAACGATGTCAGGTGCGGCCGAGCGTGTCCGCTCCGCGCCTGGGCCCCGCGGAGCCTCCCCCGGGCTGCTCCGCTGCTCCCGGCGGGGGGAGGAGGGGTCGTGATCGAGGGCGTGGGTACTTTCCCTCTCGCCCGGCGCGCTGGGCGGCCCTGGCCCTGCTGTGCGGCGCTCCGGGGCGGTCTCGGAGCCCCCTGGGCGGCTTGCAGACTTCCTAACGCGCGCTCCGTTTCTTGCAGGCCCCCTCAGAGCAGGCTGTTACCCATCGCAGGCCCTGGTGGAGGTAGAGGCCGCGGTAGCTTACTGCTGAGGTAAGGACCGGCGACCCCCACATGTTTCTGTCCTCGCTGCTTCTCTCAGGTTTCTCCCCTTTGGGGCCCTGCTGCAGGGCACTGCTTGCAAAGCCGCCGCAGGCTCCTTGTTTGAAAGGGCTGGAGCCGCATGTCTCAGACTCCCACTTCCCCTTCAGGCAGCGGCTCTGCAGCTCTTCCCTTGCCCTCGTTTTTGTCTGTGAAATGAAATAGTGGAGCAGTCTCCTGTAGCAGAGACCTTGTGGGGAGGCCCCAGCAGGGATCCCATGCTCTCAACTCTGGCCATTCCCATTTGCCATCTTGGGGATTGTGCTGGGTGTATGCATTTCTGCCAATGCTGATGCTTTGCAGCCCCCTGATTGCGAATTGCTGGGTAAGGCACTTGGGTGCTATTGTATGGGGTCCTGTCTAGTGCCTAGATGGGATGTGGGGCTAAGAGAGCCAGAGCTCTGTTACACAGGTGACTGCTGGAGCTCTTAACCCCTGGATTTTCTACGTGTTAACACCTAAAACTAGTTTTGACCACTTGGTATGCCTCTCAAACTTACACCACCCCAGGGCAGAATTATTTCTGATCTGTGGTACCCTGCTGGTGTTGCACTATTATGTGTGCGGGCCGGCTCCCGGTCCTGTCCTCGCCGGGCGTGAGCCGGGCCCGTCTGTGTGCACATGGGCTGTAGTATGCTCGAGCTAGAATCAGTCACGGAGGTGTAATGGTTGATTGAAAAGATTATTTACTTACACCAGAGATGGTCGCGGTGCAGGCTAGACAGTTTCCAGGTACAGCTCCACTTCAATCCTAGTTGGAGGACTCTAAAACTCGATTTCCAGGATCCTCGGAGTGGTTCAGACTCCGTGGTTTCAATAACTGGGTTCTAGGGTAGGGATTCGTCTGGACTGCGATCGGTGACGGGGAGAGGCTAGAGGCCGTCGGTAAGTGGTGCCCTGGAGTTTGCTAGGCTCCGGGGGTTCGGCAATTGGAGCCTCTATCGCCTTCTTAAGAAAGACGTGCTGGGTTCGAAAGGACCCACAGCGCTTGGAGATCTGTCCCTCCGTCTCTCTCTCTCCAACTTGGGCAGAAACCACCCAAGCCTTTTGTACGGCTAGCAAGCCAATAGCTAGCCGCCACATGTGCCTAAATTAAGACCGGCCAATAATGTGGCTCAAATCTTAATACAAATGGTGGGAACTCCTTTGCAGCCTGCATCACTATAATGCAAGAGAAATACACAATGCAAAGAAGGCTACAAAACGGCGGGAAACACTTTTCTGCACGCGGGTTCTCTATAACAACAGAACACTCCGTCGTGCAAAAGAGCTGCAATTCGGCGGGAACATAATTTCGTGGTGCCGAAGCACACACAATCAAAAAATCCACAACTTTGGGTTGTGACATTGTGTAGCTAGCTACTCTAGGCTACACTTTTTTTAGTCTAAAAAAAAATCCTGCCTCTTCTTCTCCCCCCCCCCCCCCCC